TTCCATTGATTAGCACCATCTCTCCGCCACTGTATCTTTCTTTTTCCTTTCCTTCCGCATCCCCATATACCGCCTTCTTTTGATAACATTGATTTGCGGATATCGCGCTATGTATTGCCCAAAACCCCCCGAATAGGCGATTGGGAGTGTATGAAATTGGGGATCGACCTGACAGGGCAACCGGCCAGTTTTTGTAATTGTTGGCTGAGAAACGATAAAGACTGTACTGATAAAGCGGAAATCCATGAAAAAAAGGAAAATTTTGGAGTTCAATATTCCTAGTAGTAAATCGGCGAACTAATGGAACATTTTCAATGCATTGCATCGCATATAAATTTGATATTGGGAAAAGAGGATCCGTTTTGTACGTCACCAGAGTATACCAAAAAATTTCAGCAACGGCGATCTTTCTGTAGCTAACCCCGGTTTTCTGCAAATGCAATTTTGACCTTTTTGCCGTCGATTCCATTAGTGGTCACTCTACGACCCCTACCATTCGATGAGCAATGCTTGTATACAGTGCCCACAACCGTTGTCCCCCTTTGGCCATCTCCTACCAATATTTGTCACGAAGCGAGACCATTAAAATTTGGACCATGTCTCCCGTTCATTCTCACGGGACCCAAAAAATAAACCTTTTTTTGCCGGTCCCTATGCTCAAGCTCAAAAATGCGGTCGAATGGACGGGCTGGGAGGTCGGGACCGACATCCTTGACAAATCACCCGCGCCAGATTGAGAAGCCGCGCCGTTGCCCCGCATAGATACCCAAGGCCAGACGGTGCAAGGTACCGTAACTTGACGAGCCTTTCCGCCTCGCCCACATCCTGGATGGATTTTTTTGCAAGACTGTGGTCAAGTGACATCCTCACCGAACCGGTGTTGCTTTGGTTACTGATTTGGAGATAGCAAATGAAAAATATTTGTCTGACCGATGGGCAGGATTGATGAAAAATTTCATAGCAGTTTGGTTGTTAAGAGTAAAAGCTATATCTAGATCACACACAAATTAGAAAAATACCCAAGATGTTCTACCTGATCTTCAAAACTGCAAACCCTCCGTTTTTCCAGACAGGCTTCCAATTCGCTATTGCAACCGCTGCGACATAATTACCGCCAGAACTCGTATCCAAAATTGCCAGCCCTGATTAGTCCAAGGCATTCAAAGTCTTCTCAGGCTTTCAATTCAAACAGCTTCCCCTTTCAATTAACTAAAACCCTCGCCCTCCCCCATCGCTCTCAAGTTTTTTAAACCGCACAGGCTTAGCTGTCTGTCGAACGTTTCAGCTTTTACGTACCCTTTTTCATTTGTCTTCTATCCGAAATTGCTACCTATAAACCTGCCATTTGACGCATTTGCCCGGGAATTAAGGAAAAAACCCAGGGTAAAACCGGAAATTAACGAAAAACGGCAATTTCAATACGGCTTCTCGATTCTGATCGTTTAAGCTGTAGGAGTAAACGTCATTTGAGACATTAGAGTTAGACAAAAATATTCTCTATTTCTGGCACATCTATGCTCCCCGTGGAACCAATCCATTCACCTGTCTCCTCTGGGTTAATAACTTCAAGTTAAGGTCACCATTTTTGTGAGCCAGAAAAAACTCATAATCTCAATTCCCACGCAGGATCCCTGAAAGGCAGGTGCAAATTTTCAGTCTTTGATGAAACGCTGACAGGTGGATGGTGACATGGGACAGCTGATTATAGGACCTGAAAATGATCCCCGTGACATTTGGAACAGTTTGTAAATGCCATTCTGGCCAACAATCAATCGAGCGGGAAAAGCCAGCTTTTGTAACTTACTGCTGCTGTTTGCTCGTGGTGGTGAGGGTGATAAGCTGCTGCTCAATTGCAGAAACTAGGAATCGCGCGCGGCGCCCATATCCGGAACCCAAAAACTGCGCGGAAGTCTCAAAAGTGATCGATCTCACAAGCCTGCATCACTTGATCTCTAACCGTGAAGCAGTTCTCCACAATCCGCCCTCTGGTGATCCATTTTCTGCGTTTTGGAGAGCAAAGAAATTTTGGGCTGAAATCGGAAAGGCTCGGTGAAGCTTAATCTGACAATAAAACTAAAAGCTGGGCGCTCGCTTTATAGCTTGAAAATCCGAACAAACGGCGTTTTCTCTTTTTGTCGAAATTCTGTAATTGGGTAGGATGTTGCCGACGCTTGGCTAGGCCATACCGCAAAGCACAGGTTCGAGTTCTAAAAACGCGCCGACAGGGATAAATCACAAGGTCTTGAAGAATTATTCGTTCGTTCCCCTGATCAGGGTCAAAGCACGAGGGAAGGGTTGAAAGAGAGCTGGTGTTCGAACATTGAAGGTTGCATATCCAACGCTTTCCCCCCTTTAAGCCGTAAGCTTCCCACCATCAGCACCCAGGCTTCACCATAACTCCCAATTAACTAGGGGTGGCGATGCGAGGAAATGGCTTCCCTTATCGGGGTGCCGAGGATGTTCCGGCTGCCCCCATATTTGAGGCTCAACGCCCATACCTAATGGCACCTGGCCCCCAGTATAGTCGGGAGAGCTGTTAATTAAGAGCTTAGCCTCGCTCCAACATTTCCTTCGTCCAGCCGTCAATGCGGTGTCTGGGGCACCTTTAAGCCGGAAATGGGTGCAAATTGGGCATCATCGAAAAACTAATCGTCTGATCTTTCCCCCAACCATCTTCTAAGCCGTTGCACTGTTTTTTGGCAAACGAACCAAAGCGTGAAGTGAATCTCTAGCTTGTGAAGTTGAAAACCTATCCATTTTAGGACAGTTAATTAACGTGTGTCAACCTTGCCCGGCTTCTCAGGGTTCTCACCATGTATTTTTAGGATTTTAGCACAAAATGTCCCCGACGAATTCTGGTTAACTAGCTGCAAAATTGAAAATGCTAAAAAAATAAAGCACAGTTTCCGTTTCGTAGAGGAAATTTCGTTCTTTTCAAAACCGTACACGGTTTTATTGCAGGAATTTACTTAATATTCAGCGTAGCTTGAGAATTACATTCACAAGGCCCTCACACCTCGGCACCCTGCGGATCCTTGGCACACAGGCCCCAAAAAGGTATATATAGCTATCTTATAATGCGAGATAAAACCGGGACTAGCATACCCCCGCGTCAATCGCATTGATTTCCAAAACCCCCGGTTTCGCCCGTTTCTATGGTTCGGGGGCTTTTACACGAGGTATCTCGAGGGATGGAGATGGGACACGACGATAAGCCTGGTGCGGGGAGGGCAGGTGAAAATGCGAGCCCAGCCGATGCAATTAATGGCTTTTGTAATTATTTGGACCGTTTTGTGGAGCGGGCAGGTAGCGAGAAGGGCTTGTGACGGAAAAACGTCAGCAGGGTCATTGATGGTAATTCGATGAATGATATTGAAAGCGAAGAATCATGGGTTTTAAAATCTCTACATTTTTTTTGTCGACTAGGTGAGAAGATGACTTTATCCTCGATCGCGGAGTTTGGGGAGACCAAACCCGAAATAATATCATAAAAAGTTGATGGCTTTCCCAAAAAGTTACATTTTCTCTATTTACGGTCTCTCTTTCGCTTTGACCCTGACTGTGTGTTGGAGGCTGGTCGCCCCCAGGAAGCTGCACGATCCCCATCATCCGCCCAAAAGAAAAACTGAAAAACCCAGGGCGTACGCTTTCCGCAGCTAGCAAATCGGCTCGCAACCACAGGAGATTTGTCCAAGAATGAGGGCGATCTTACGCTTTTTGTGCGGGGATTCCCACCTTTCAACTGAGTCGGCAAAGAACAAGAACTTTGGGTTTGCATTGAGCCGTCCGGAAATGTAAAATCAAGCATAAAAAGTGTTGCTTAGTGGTTTAGTGGAATCGAAACACCTAGGTCGCCTTATCTAGATTCACACTTACTTCCTGACTTCAGTTTTAGCGCTTCCGGTTGTCTGGAGCATAATTTTTCAACTCACATGACCTCAAATCCTCTGAGACCACCTGCCCCCGGCAACTTAATCCCGGAGCTCGGAACCAGGACCAAGACCGCTTGCCTGGTTGACGAGTTTTTGCAATCCTCAAAGCGGATTAAGTCTTGAAGGCGTTGTTAAATTTATACCTAGCGCAGCCAAACAGGTACCGTTGAAAAACGCAATATACCCGGATTTTCCCGAAAAGCGGATTTATCCCCTTTTTCTAGAGCCCAATGCTCCCACCAAAAAAAACACTTTCCAATAACCATAAGTAGGTTACTGACGCGCGACAGTTCAGGGCCTCTTTTCAACCAATTTTGAATTCCCAGGGTTGCCACTAATTAAGTGTAGCAGACGAGAGAATTGGGATCGCCACTTCGGAAGACTCATAATTAAAAAAACTATATTTTTCACATGCTACGTCAAAATTATAACTTTGAATCGAATGTGGGGGCACGGCGATCAAAGCCCATCCCGGAACTGAAAAACCTGTCTGGCGACATTTATTTTAGACAACTACGGATTATCAACTGCGGATTGCGGAAAGATTTTTGAATTACAAAGAAGCCCGGTTCCAACTAGCATCGCGAGAAAGTGAAATATGGAACCACTGCAAGCTTTTAAAATTTCTGGGATTCAAGGTCCATAGATAGTCCAGAAAAGTCTACTCTACATCACCTTAATTTCTCCCGGACTGCAACGTTGCCAACAATTTCCGCACAGTGTTCGCTTCTTCAAAAGGGCATCCACAGCGGCCCTTCTCGCCATTATAATTCCTCCGGGCGCCATTTTCGCGGGCTAATCCATGGCTTCCCCCACATCCCACGGAACTTCATTTCATCCCCTCCCAAAAAGTCAAGCTATAAGATCGGGAACTGGCGATAATCGGGTGTGTATGTATGTGTTTGTGGGCGGCCCGCGATGGCTCCTCCCCCCTTTTGGTGTTGCCTGCTTGAAGGGGTGGGGCCAACCGAGCCAACCGATTCTGCAACACGCCTATAGCCACACCCTGCCCGTTATATAAAACTACCTGTAAATCCCGTCATCCTCTTCAACATCCCCTGAAAGGCCATGGAGCGCCATCCCGTCGACTTGGAATTCGACGACTTGTGCCTTTTTAATTTTGAGAGGGTCCCGGAACAGGGCCTTCCCTATCATCATTATTTGGATCAAAATCCTAACCCACCACCTAATCAACACTATTCGGAGGCCACCATGCAATTCCACGAGCCTATGGACCAATTTTCTGCTATGGACGTGCCAACGACTTCACGCCAGCTACCTCCTATTCAATTACCCCCTCCTGTTCAACAACATCAACCACCACCACACCCGCTCCCGCAATATTCTCAACACTATCAAATGCCGCCGCCACCTCATTACCAATATGAGCCACAAGCGATGCCTTACCAGGTAAGTACTTTTTTGCAGGCATTTAGATCTGTGACCCTTGTTGGAGATGTTTCTAATCTTTTGAAAATTCAACCTTACAGACTTTTCTGCTGGCTTAAAATTTGGGAATTTTGTTTACAAATCGATATTTTTATTACTTTTGCATGAAAAATGCCTACCTAAATTTACTCAAATCGTCTTGTGTTCAATAAAACGCGAAATCGCGTTTAATAAAACGAAATATTTGAATTGTTGGATTAATTGTACCAGTTTAAAACGCATGTTCAGGGAGCTGGAACTGGATAGAAAACTGTTTCTCTCTAACTCGCTAACTCTCTCTCTCCCTCTCTCTCTCTCTCTCGCTCTCTCTCTCTTTTGTCTCTCTCTTTGTCTCTCTCGCTCTCTCTCATTTTCTTTCTCTTTCTCGTTCTCGCGCTCGTTGCCGCACTCTCTATGTTTAAACAGTGTACACGTCCAGCTCCCAGTGCATGCGTTTTAAGCCTGAAAGAATCTAGGGCCGAAGACACTTTTTAAAAATAATGCTAGCGAGTGGAAACCAAAATATCGAACAAGGGTCGCAGTTTTGTCGTTTTTCCGAAACTAATCGAAGTAAAAATGGATTCTTAGAGCTACCCAGCGGGGCCAGAATACTACCAACTGCCACAGCAACAGCCGTCAAATGCGCCGGTGCCACCACCACAAATTCCAGATCAACAAATGCCCAGCGCAGCTCCGCAGCAGCATCAGATGCAGCCGCAACAGATGATACTACGTGTTGCCCAGCAACAGCAACAATTAAAACAACTACAATCACCACCACAACAACAGTGCCAGCAGCAGCCGCAGCCTTCATGGCCGCAGCAGCAGCAACAACACCCACAGCCACAACTTCAAGAACAAACACCACCACCACAACAACACCATCAAGCTTTACATCCTCAACCACATCAACCCCTACCTCAACAATATCAACAGGAACCCCTACCTCAAAAGCCGCCCATGCAGGCACAGAAATCAGCGTGCTCCAAGACAACTGTCGAACCAATCTATCCGTGGGATATGCCCCGCCGAAGCCCCCCACCTAATGTCAACCTTGGGCCCGACACTCCTGGACATGTTCTGATAGCTCTCAAACCTGGCGAAAAGCCCCCGCCCATCACGGATAAGTACTACAAGTTGAACATACAATCGTATGCCCCAGATGTAGTCGTCCCTGGCATCACCGATCAGCCAAATTACAAGCCTGCCCCTGAACCAAAATTCCCTCCAGCACCCAAGTCCCTCAAGAAACCGTCTCCCTATCCCCAATGCCGACCGTCAACTTCTCGCCAGAAGCGCTCCGCATCTATCGATGATGAGGGGAAATTCGCCAAGCCGATTCTATACCTGCGGCGCAAATCCCATACCCCTATATCGCCACTGGCCAAGCCAACAACCCCTGCCGATGCACAAGTTATTTCGCTTCCTCAAACAAATCGAGCGCCTGGCCAGCAACCTCCTTTGCAATTATCCATCAACAATATGCCGGGCGGGATTCGGAAGGCAGCTTCTTTGGAATCTGGATCTGACTCGTCAATCTCACCGGAAGGCACACCGTCACCACCTCAGAAGACTAGTACTTCAGAATCTTCACAAACTTCCAATAAGGCCGAAGCAGGTTCGTTTCTGCGAACGCTCATTGCCCAGCCTGAAAGCCCTAAGCCCGGGCCCTCGAATGCGACTCTAGCTCGCCCTTCCGAACTAGCGAATCCCGGGAAAAGAACATTTGAGGTAGTGGATGACAGTGAGGTCGGGCAGCTTGTTAGCAAACTCGCGAAATACGACCAACGCGTCTTGGAAGCTGCCTTGGCTAAAAGTGCCGAATTGAAGAAGCAGCAAGGCCAAATGCCTTCCGATGCTCAACAAGTAATAGAGCCAGCCGCCGCTGCAAGAGCCATTCTTCCAGCAGCTGCTCCAGCACCAGCCCCCGCTCCAGTCCCTGCGCCACGACCACCTCCTCCAGCCCATCCTCCTCTGAACGCCTTCACATTCATGACCCTTGCAAAGCGATGCCCTCAAGCGCTGCTAATGAACAAAACTCTCCTCCCGGCAACTGCCATTGCAATGCTTAAACAACAGTATTTTGTGAACACCATGGAAAGAGCTGCTGAGTTCCAACAGGGATCTGGAGACCAAAGGCCTTTAGAGGAAATTGCCGTAGCTGTTCAGGAGAATGATGTGCGCCTGCTTATCGCTCACAGAGCAAGAATTGGAGCTCCGGTGGAAGCCAATCAGCAACAGCCTTCAACGTCCAGACAGCCGACTCCAGCTGATAGTGCTGCGAAGCCAAGCTCTACGGAACCTTCGCAACCAAAAGACTCAGGTCCCAAGGAAGTGATTGATTTAACCGATGAACCGGGCCCTTCGACATCCCGGCAAGATTTTGACGGCAGGTATGGAAAAGGTTTTGAGTTCTTCTTAACGAATCTTATTTGGAGAAGTAGCTGATGTGGAGCTTCGGTTTCGGCTCCACGGGCCCTGTTCCAGATCTTTCGTTTGGTACGGTTGATGCTGCGGAATGGGACCGACCGATGGATTTTATAACGAGTAAACGCTCATGGAAATTCTAGGAGATAATATGCCTATCGTATTAATTCTTAGAAGGTTAAGAAAGCAAGCTAGACAGGGCTTTTTTATATTACTGGCATTATTTCAAAACTATGACTTTTATTTAGCTGGCGCGGCATAGATTCCGAATCCAACCAGATTTTTTGCGAATTGAGTGGTAATTCTTGGCATGCATTTCGGGGTCAGCCTCACGAGTCTTCCCTTTATCAGTCACTTTATCATGCCATTGGGCTTCGGGGGGTTGCGGCCTCTGTTCTTTTCCATCTATAATTCTCACTCACCTGTCACCGGCGAATCACTCCGATCCATTCCTATGTGCACCTGAGGGGTTAGCCTAGGGAATCGATGGGAACCTTTGGTTTTTCAGCAATAACATAGCTTGGTTTTAGTGTAGGCTTGGTTTTAATTGCTTTCCTCCATTTCCGCGAGGCTCCTACTATTGATTTTGGACGCACGTGTTCTTCAACATGAATGAAACGGAGGGCTACAGTATACCCGACCTTTTCCTTTTTATAAAAAGCGAGCTGAATTTGTAATAACAGGATATTAGTGTGAATATTTTAGATAGTTCCAATTTTGCTTTCCTGCTTCCGGATACCAACAACCAATAGTGCGCCAATTCACGAGGGTCGCCTTCTAATCACTGGCAGGCCCTGGGGCTATTCTTGAACTCCCGCATTGATTTGAATCGAGCGCCCGTGACCTAGCTTTATATTTGTCGAACCTCAGATTCACTTTCATTTTGTTCCGTTTTATTTTATTTTTATCTGGTGTCAGTCGACTGGCGGAAAAACTATTAGAAAATTTCTTTCTAAGTCCATAGAACCCGAGGGACCTAGCTAATGCATAGCCTTTGGGATTTGGATTCTAATCTAATTACATTCTAGGCCGTCTTACTACCAAATTAAGTAATTCTAATCATATTTTTTACAGCGCTACAGCGAGTTCCTGTTTGGGCCTTCCCTGGACAACATCTACGGGAACCAGCAGGGTTCTAATCAAAACCAGTCGCCATTTGTGAAAATGGCCACCGATGAGGACTGGCCATCTCAGAGGTTCAGAGATCATGTCATCAATCGACTGTAAGTTTTCACTGTTTAATAAGCGATCTGATTAAAAATTAGTAAATATTATCATGTAGAATTCCTAAATTCCTATTTCGCAAACGAATCAGGGTCGGGCAATATCCCAGCTTATCTTTTCGAAATGGCCCTTATGTCGTAAACGCGGCCGACCACAAAGTATCGACCCGAACGGCGGTTCGAGTTCAGTTTTGGAGTAAAGATAAATTCCAAAATATGCAGTTTCAGAAGGAAGACGATAACAAAGTTACCAAGACTCCGACAAATAAATAAAAACATTAACGTTTTGATTTTCAGTGAACCCGAATTGGCGCGAAATCGTCAAAATGCGCCGAATTTGCCCGTTCCTGGAGATGCCCGGCAGGTGGAGGAATACGTCTTCCAGAAATGTGTATCAAAGGACGAGTATATGCGGACAATCGCCAAGGTATAGTCTTAATACCCTTTTCAAGAACGCATTCTTAAGGTGATCAACGCAATCAACTGCAACAGCAAGTCGGCAGCAGCTCCCCCACAACTTCAGCCAGCCCCTTTCCCATCACCCGGTCAGACGCCAAACGGTGTTCCAGGTGGTCCTCAGGTATTGACTACGAAAATTTTCTGCTCCCATACTCCACTTCGATTAGCCCTCAAATATATGCGTTTTTCAGTATCGAACAGCCCCGGTGCCACCAGATCCTCAGCCAACACATGCACGGCAACAAAACGGAACTGCAGCCCTGTCCACCCCTCCTACAAGTATTCCGCCGACAGTCCAAGCCGTACAGGTATTTTTTTTGCAGTATTTTGGGAACCGGAAATAAGGCATTTATGCTGAGTCTGTTATGCAATGTCCCAAGCAGCTATTGCTTCACACTTCCGAAAAAGGTTTTTATCTACTTGGTTCCAGCCTCCCCCCGGTGGTACGATGGGTCAACCTCCGCCTCAAATGGGTACCGGACCGCCAGTAGGCCCTGGATTTGGCCAAACGCCGCCGGCCGACTACAATCCCCAGATGATTGGTGGGCAGCCACCATATCAGCAACCATACCAACCACATATGGTTAAGCGAGAGGTATGTGCTTGCGTTTTGCACAAATAACGACAATAAAAAATATATTTTCCGCACAATTAACTTGTAACAGGAAATCTATAGTGGTAACAAAAAGTTGAAATAACATAATGATTGTTTTAGACAATGACACCAGCTCCTTATGCTCCACCGATGGCAAATCCGATGCGACCAATGGACGTACAGGGACGACATTACCCACCTCCATCTACTCCTCACCAACGTATGCTTGCTCATTAGCAACTCGTAATTATATTGTTAGCATACGGTATGGACACCGGGTATGCACCTCCAAACCATGGCCGAAGTGTTCTTGAGAGCCTCATCAGCACCCCACAGGTAAGCCTTTACCTGGTTTTACGAGGACAAATTCGAACAATAATAAGTTCTAAAGAGTAACATTTTGGCGAAGCAATATTTTACATGCTCTTCTAGGTTCAGCCGCAAAGCAGCTACCCCCAGGCAAACAACATGGTCGGTCAAATGCCCAACGACGGCCGAATGGGAGTACCCCAGCATTCAAGTAGGTTTTACCCCATCTAAATCTTACTTTTATACCATCTCCAAAATCCGAATGTATTTTATCCATTTTCCAGATGTGCGCATGGCAAATGGCCCCGGGCAACCAGCCCACGTTTCAAATGATGCTCCTTCAACACCACAGGAACAAGCCGAATACCAACGAAAGGTAAACAAATTTCAAACGTCTATCTTACCTACAATTTATTTTAGTTGGAAACGCTGAAACCTTACTGCCATAATCTGCGCATCCGTGCGCATCAATGTAGGATGGAAGGCAATCCAGAAGCGGCTGGCAAATTGGAGGTGAGAAATTGTTTACGAGATCGACAAACGCAAATGAACCTATAGTTTTCATTAAATAACCAACCCTTTTAGACGATGTTGGGTGTACTAGAAGCACGAAGAGTGGTCTCCTTGGAATACCTCTCCAACCTTGAGTCGTGGATCCACAAGAAGGCCGATTTCCTGGTGAGTACCCTTGATTCTCATCTATTTTCTATCGTATCGGGTTTCTGCTTCTACCCCTCTTTATCGTAATCCTAAATTACCACCCTCATTCACCCAATCACCTATGAGTTCGTATGCCAGCTAGTGTTTTGAGAAATGTCCAGTTATTTTGGGTTTCGGGACATCGTTCCATACCATGAAAAATTTCTAGGGATTTCACGTTCGAAAGGATGTTAATTTTGTGTGTGTGGTCTGGGCGATTTTGAGTCCTTACACACTAATAGCATGTGGGAAAAAATACCGTAACTCAAGAAAAGTTGGGAAGTTTACTGTAGAAGTCTTGTATTTTGTATTTCCCGAATAATTGAAAAAAATTGAGTTTTTTATGCTAAAGGGTTAGAATGAGCTGTCCGTTCGTAAACCATGTTCGTCTTATAGTACCCCCATGATCCCTTGAGCCTCTCCGTGTTTTTCGTTTCCTCCCCCCGAGAAAGCTTTATCGCAAGTAGTGTGTGGTTGTATAGACACGAGGAGTTCCCGCACCGCCTCCATCTGCTCCGATGAACGGCCATCCACGAGAACTCCCACCTGGCCGTGTCGACCCGGTTGCAGCTCGATTCTCATCCCCCCCGCTCCAACCACCTACCGTCGCTAGCCAGCCGCCATCACAGCCGCCGCAACCAAGAGTCAGCCATTGGTCTATACTATTTAAAGGGTTTGGGAGAATTGAGGAACGGATGGCAAAAAGGATACTGATTTTAGCTAGAGCTTTTAGAAGTTTTTCGTTACGCACTGTAACCGAAAGATGACAATTGCGCCTTAGGCCTTCTGGTAGACCACGTTCAAATTTTATTTGATCCTGGCCAAAGGTACAAAACAAAATTAATTAGATATGTCAGGAATACTCTAAAAGCCTTAAAACAGTCAAATCGACCAGATTTTAATTTCGTGTAAATCTGTCAAAATGCCAAGCAAACTTAGATAGATATACTAGAATTTTTTCGTCCCACCCCCCTGCTACAACAAGCCCCAAAAAAAAAAAAAAACAATTTTCTAAAATCTCAAAAAAATTTTAAATCAGTAAAAAAACGCAAAACAAAATTACAGCATTTTCGTTTCACGTGTCGTTTAGGGCATCTCCGTCCAAAAAATCCTAAAGATCATAAAAAAGCTTACATGGCCCCTTCTCCGTATTGTCTACTTGTCGTCATGACCGGATGTGCCGCCGAATGGCTATAAAACCCCGGAAAATTAATGCATATTGGGCCCGCTAGCCCGCTCCTCCAGTAGAAAAGCACGCACGTTCCCCTGACCACTCACAGCCTGTTTTTTGTGCCGTAAGATTGCGAAGGAGCAAAACGGGGGAAATGCGGCGGACCTAGTAATATGCAAATTACAGGGCACGGTGCCGATGATGCCTCCTGGACCTGCAATGCAAAATATGGATACGATGATGCATGATCCGATGCAACAACAGTGAGTTTTATTAGACTACTAGGCGCGGCAGTGGTTCCATGATTTTGCCGACAATTAAAAAAAATCGAAATTAGATACGGCTACGGTATGCCGCCATCCGGTATGTGGGGCCCTCCTTCTGGACATCAGATGATGATGCAACCTCAATATGGTCATCCTCACGTTGGTTTTTGCAATATTGTAAACCTTGGTTTTACTGCTACCGAATACTCAAAGTTCCATATTTAAATCGTTTCAGCAAATGGGACCCGGTGGTGGACCAATGCATGGAGGCTACCAACACGATCGGGTCGAACATCATCGACCATATCCAATGTCGCGACCATGTAGGCGAATTAATAATAGCATAATTATTGCTTTGTTTAGCGCAAATGCCGCAAACTCATCCGATGAGCCAACCACAAACGATCCCGCAGAATGGTGGACCACCGGTTCGTTTTTTAATCGGAAACCAGGGTTGAAAAGCCGCTTCGCGACTTTTCAACCCTGGACCCGTCTTGGACCCCATGCTATTCCGCCCTTTGCATACTTGTCCTTTAAATTTTTCAAAATCTGATATGTGTGCAGTCATCCCTAGACCATTACGCACCTAATGACGTATCGAACGTGGCCTAATATCCCTCCGTTCTTGAGATATCCTCTGGACAGCCAGACGGAAGTGGATGCAAAGTGGCACACACACACAGACACACAGACACTATTTTTTTATATATAGTAGCAGGGGCGTAGCCAGAAAAAAATTTCGGGGCCCTGAAAATTTTCGAAAAACTCAAAAAATTAACGAGAAAACAGCGCCGCAGGCGAAAAATTTTGGAAAAAAGGGAATATAACTCTACAAATAGCAGTAAAAACGTGAAAACATAGCGCCGCAGGCAGCAAAATTTTTGAGAAAATAAAAATCATAAGGGTCCGCCCTTATGAAATTTTCGGGCCCCGGCCGATTTCGGGGGCCCGGCCCCGGGGCCTGTATTACGCTACGTCCCTGTATAGTAGGATTATGAACCCCAACAAAAATGGAAATAAAACCAGCCTGGTATAGTTAACGCAAAGAGATACTTGAAACCTAAATTGTTTGGTTACGAGAGCTTTCAAGGGTCTGAAGGCACTTTATCAGTACTAAATGCACAGATCATCATGAAATATTGTGATCGTACTGTGGCCTCTTCCATTTTCCTTTTTTTTTGCAAAGAGTGTTGTGCGTTTGTCAGGTCGCATCACCGATGTCCACCGGTTCCCTGCCAACACCACCATGCCCGGTCCCCTCAAATCAACATTATCATCAGGTACGGTAACAGTAGCTTATTTTTACTCTTGCTTTTGGTCTATAATATCCCAGTAAATTTTGAATTGCCATTTTTTATTTAGTTTTCAAATTTCAGTAATGTCTCGTGGCTCAAACTCTCTTTTTAAATCACCCTTAGTTTCTTTCACTTGCACCTAGTTAGCCTGTAAACTCAAGCTTTCTGACGATATCAAGCCTAACTGTTCATAATCGCTAGACCCTTCTAAACCGAAGTATCTTAATGTTTAACACTATTTCATTCGAGCACCACTCATACCTTCGTACCCTACCGCAGCCAATATCTTCACGCAGCCCAAATATTTGGTTCATTTCGTCGTAATTTCCGGTCTCTATTGGCCGTTGCCAACGTCTTTGGTTTTTTTTGGGAAACAAAACTGTACAGTGAAAAGTGTTGTTATTGGTCCTATGCCCATTTCCGCGGTTTAGAACGGCGCCGAAGAATTCTACGGGCTGGTAGACGATCTGCTGCCCGCTCCACTGGAAAGCCGCGGCGGACCCGGGGTTCAAAGCAGGCAGCAATCGACTCAGCGGGTAGTCTATCCCATCATATTATATGCACGAGACACCAAAAATTGTGTACCGCATCCTCTCCAACGGGCTGGCTGTGTTGTTTAATATTATTACAAGGAGTTATTTTTTAGAGTATTAGCGGAGTTTTATACTCCGGGTTTAAAATTCTAAACAGGATCCGCTTTCAAAACTGCTAAAAGTTGATGGCCCTGGAGAAAAAGAGTCTAAACTTTTTACATTTGAATACTGACGAATTTAGCTTTCATGCGCTATCGTGAAACTATATTATACCTAAAAACAACTCCTTCTTAATGATATTTTTCGCTTGTTTGCCTAAAAATATAAAAACGCTAATCTGCTTCGAAGTAAATAAGGGCAGTACATGGAATGTTCTCGATGTCCGTTATTCACAAATCCAAAATCACGCATAAGAATGCAGCCTGGCCCAGGATCAGCCACCGACGTAGGGATAATCCATATATATTTTCAGCTGAACCCCTCTTGCTTTGCCCCGTTTCTATCACCTTTCCTTTGCTCCTTTCCGTTCAATATTGCCAGAACTACCCACTGTTTTTAAGCGGATATGGTCATGAAAAACGGATCCCCTGGTCGGATCATCATCCGTCTTTGGACTCTAGACCATTGACCAATTCTATAGAAATTAGAATTTTGGTGTTGCACAAGTTAGGACGGAACGTGAAAAACAAATTTGATTACAGCCGGCTGCGATGCTTCCCGAAACGGCACGAGCAGAGTTGAACGGGCTGCGCGATAGATTTGAGGCTGACTACAATTCGATCGAGGCCCACGACGGCAATTCGGTGGTTGTAAAAGTTAAGCTGAGTAAGTTGATGATTTAAGGAAAGTATAAACGAATTTGTTTCAGAGGCGTACCAGAATTTGCCTCTCCTCCGTCTTGTCATTCCGATGCACTACCCGAACGGAATGATTTTAGTGCAAAGGGCAGCATTAACGATAGGTATACTGTTGCTTAAAGACGCAGGAATTCTTGCTTTGTAGATTCATACTTGTACGATGATCTGCAAAATGCTGTGCATGAACGATTGGGAGCACCGGAGTTGAGGACGATAACACAATTTTTGGAGACTTGGGTATGTTAATTGATTCCACAAGTTGTCAGCTTAAAATTTTAATTTATTTTATTTTAATTTTAATTTTCAGGAAAACACGGTGTACTACTCGATGAACAACCAAGGTGCCCAATCAACAGCCTTTGATGATATCTTCTCAACCTATGACAGTATCATCAGCTAGACACCCCCACCCCAAAGTACCCAACCCCTCTGTTGTTACCGTAGTACCCTGGCGACTACGAACTGCTGCTCTATACACTCGCCCTCCCCATCGGCAGGTCCCCCCTCCCCCCCAACCTTTCCCTCGTTACAATGGCAGGACTGTACAGAATGACCTCTGCCTCATGGAAACCGCTTGCAGCGCCCAGTCCCTTTTTTATGTTGATCCTTGGAGTCGTTGCTCGCACACAGGTACCTAGCGAATGAATCTGTTAGTTCAGGATTTTCCCCATTCCCCCGTTATTTTCGGCTCCACGATTCCTTGTTTCTGTTGTCGGTGTTCCGCCAAAATGCGGGGAGACGCTAGTATTTTACTGCTAGACATCGGCTATTTGGGATTTAGGCTTTGAACCAAAATCAACAAATCCCATAATGCCTAATCTTCGGCCGCCTTACAATGAAATAGTCGTTCAAATCTGTCGATAGTTATTCCCCCGTACCGGAAAACACCCGTTCTCCTCTTTTATTCTTTTGGCCGTGGTCCGTCTGCTGAGATACCCCCTCCCTCCCTTATATTTCTTCTCGAGATTCCCCCAAATTATATATTCCCCCTTCCCATCCGTTACAAATTATACATATTGCGCTCTTGTCAGTTAATTTCTCGTTACGGTATTTTGTTCTTCGGTAGTTCCTACTGTATGTTTCAGACCAAAAACCACATTTTTTTGTTCGTTTTACCCTGTACTTTGTTCCACATATAGTTCTCGATGTTCCACTAACAACATGTGATCCCCCATTACCCTATTCGAAACGTCTTTTTCTCGTGTGTCTCGGTCGGAATGCTTACTGTTCATTGTTTTTTTTAACGTACATGATATTTGTTCTTCTGGGTTATTAATCCCGTTTTTTTCTGGATGATTCGAACTACTGGAGTATGCCCAAGTTATCCACGCCCTATTTCTTTGCCCATATGCGAGAGTCTATTTGAAATGTAGATACACAGTTATATTCATTTCCCTTTCCAACCACTTCATCGGTAACCGTGTACGATAAATTTCAAGGATATTATATGAAGTCTACGCCTTACAAGTATCGGGTTATTAAAATACCATGACAACATTGAAATAGATGGAAAGATCTTCGGAAAAAATGGCATGGTAAGCATTTTAATATCAAGGTCTACTTAGATTTGCATAAAATTGACCATGTTTATGTCGATAATGTGATGACTATTACTGCTGAAAATATTACTTTTAAGGCTGTTTCCTGTTATCCTACGTGTGTGGATGTCACTTTCGAGGGCCGATTTGGGGGCCTTGCCGTGCATAAAATGCTCTAATGCTCCGTCACTTGGGGGAATCGACCCTCCTCTTTCCGATGGCGTGTTCAGAATTCCGATAAAATACAAGTTTACAAAGGTAAAGCCGGTTTTATTCATTTTTGGGGGTCCGGGAGGGCTAATTTGCATAATGTGAAAAAATAGAAAATTCCTCATTCTTGCAAGTTGCACGCGCGCGTGTGGTCGGGGGGGGGGGTCCGAAGGACCCGTGCTATCGGAAAGTAAAATTTCTCATGTAAAGGCCGCATTCCAGCGCCCAAGGCCCGCGAAGCGGGTTTTGGGCGCTGGTTCTATCTACTTCAGTACTAGTGCATATTCTCGAATTCAAATCAATAATTTATTAAAATACCACGACATCACTGAAATGCATCAAAATTCGATTACGGCAGAAGTGTCGGCATGGAAAGGGTTATGGGCTAAGATCACAGAAGGGAGATGAGGAGGGAGAAGGTTCTTATTTTTCCAATTCTATTATGATATCCGTATCGAGAGTCAAAAGGGGGTTTGAATTTGTGTACGGGTTTTGGGGTTCCCGGAAAGATGATGATTAGATTGAGCGGAACGGCATTCGAAATTTTGACGGTGATGAACATCATCGACATTGGAAACAGAGGGCAAAGAATGCACCTCCAAAGAATCCAACAGCCGCAATCATCCCCGGGCTAAAATATAATTTATAAAAAATGTAAAACAACTTACATAACCCAGAAACGATATCGATGACAGCAGTCATCGCCACAGCATTCGTGATAGGAGAGAAAGTCGGAGACCTGGCTGCTGCATCTGGAACGGATCTCACGATCAGGAAGCTTTTCTCATACATAATTCAGCTCATCGACATGTATCTAGCCATGACTGCACGGATAACCCCCGGTGTGCATTTCTCATTCATGCACTTCAGAATGTGAAATTACCGAGATTCCGGCTGGGGGAGTAGTTTGGTGAAAGCTTGATAGGGTTTCGGATGTGAACTTTACGGATGCTTAAGCTAACTGGAAATTTAAAGATAAAGGTGGTTTTTACGAATGAAAGCTGTAAATTATCCCGATATTCTCTCTTAAAGGTAAGTGGAAAATAATAAAGGAGATACGGAACATCACCCTCTGGAATTTGGTAACATTGATATTATTCAAGGGTTGTCCCTCGGCCCAAAAATGGCCAAACCTCGAACTTTAAAGCCAGACTTCCTTATTGTGTAGGTATCAAAAAGTTGACCCCCCTCGTCTCCTACTACGTGTAGCCCTCCTTTTTCTTCTAAAAACCCTTTTTCATCCGGCGAGCATCTCCCCCGAGGGTCCGAAGTGTCCTTAGTGTCTTCTTCTATCCCATCCCTCGTCTTTCTCCGACTTCTTCTCCGACTCAACCGGTCCCGAATTCCCGTAGGAGCCGTCAAGGACCTCTCCTCATTCAGAGTCCCGCGGCTTTGCGAGCTCAATCCCCGACACCTACTCCCGAATGTATTGCCCCGCACTCTTTTTGGCTAGCCAGCGCGTTAGCCCCCCCCCGCGGTCAAATCAGCCGATGCATCAGAACTCCCGTTCTCAATTTGTCATTAATTATTACTGCAGTGGATGGGACCTCCAAAAATGATCATTCAATGGTTGAGAAGAGAAAAATTATGAAGTAATAAAAAGCGATCGACTATTCGTCAAAAAAAATTTAAGACGGGTTTCCGGTGCTAGATTTAATTGATAAAATGTTTCTTAATTAAAAAAAATAAATATAAACAGTTTTAGTTGTTTAATAGGTTACCCCAAAGCTCATTTCCTAAATAGCAAAGACAAAAAAAACGAATTGAGTTAAACGATCCTGAGAAACCCATTAAAATTCCAGCCAACAATCCCTTTAGCTTTTAGGGCGATATGTATTCCACGAAAGAAGGCTCCATTTCGGACTCTTTCAGCTGAGCCCCACTCCACTCGCTCAGAAATATGGGCACTTTGTGGAAGAAGCCTCCGCCCTAAAATGCAGTTTTGCCCCGGCGGCCGCCCGGAAAATGGGCATTTTACGGGATCGGGCACTCGGCGCACTGGCCAACATGGGGAGGTGTGGCGTTGTTGGTTACTAACCGAAGAAAAAAAATGAAATTGGATGGTCATGCGAGTGTTGAAGGGTTTGAAAAGGCAGATTGGGTTTATGGGATGTTCTGATGCTGTGACGGCTAGAGAAGAGCGGAAACCTTTTGTTCCTAAATAAAAAAATCAACCCCCCCCCCCCCACGAGCCGGTTTTACCCCCCCCCCCCCACAACCCCCCCCCCCCCTCGTAGGGGGGGTCTGTCTTTTTTTGGCCTCTTTCCCCCTTTCAAAAAAATTTTTTATAGAAAAAAAAACCCCCCACCCCCACCCTCCTCCCAACCACTAGAACTGGTTTTTTTGGACATCTAGTTAATTTTTTTGTCAGATTTTTGCATTATCTGGAAAATAATAAATCTTTATATCCAGCGATGCAAATCTGTTTGAGCCCCCACCCATTTTCCCAAGACGCCTACTATCAGCACCAACCGAAAAACAAGTCGGGTATTTGGTGCGCGGCCGGTTGTAAACGACGCCCCCCTTTCTAGAACACAAGTCATCCTATATAGCCCTAGCAGCCCCCAGTCAGAGCATCGAAGCGCTCGGTGACGCTTGCCAAAAGGAAGGAAGGACGGGAAAGGCATCGTCTTCTCGAAAAGGAGATTAGAACGCCGTCCCCCTTTCACCCCATACTCAGCGGCCATGGATTAGGGAAATTGGGCTTCCCTACTGCAGCATCAAACCGTTTCCCGGATTTAAAAGCAATCCGGAAAATTGCGTTTCCTAAATAAATTCAAAAGGTAAAATGGTATCAACAATTTGCGTACACAACCACAATTTGCCAGTAGGGGTGATGCTTGTTTACAACTAGCCCCTGCACCTATTCCGGTTTTTCGCTTCTCGTTTTTTTGGTTTCACTCTCGGAAAAGGCCCCAAATCCCTGACCTGGCCAATAAGGCTCGAAGTGCGCGATGAGTAATGGCTGCTCGGGGTAGAGGGGTGGGCCCTCCAAACCTTTTTTGGTTTCGAACTCGCCCTACGCCCGTAAATTTAAAGGGACGATGGGCTTATTTTGGAAATATGAAAGGTATGGAGTTGGGCTCAACCCGGCTTTTCTTTTATTCTTGGAATGCTGCAAAAAGGTCCAAATATTTATACCATTAGGTTAAATCATTGGTTCCATAGGGCCTCTAAATTTTGTACTGTCGTGGATATAAGGGGCCCCGCCGGCCACGCTGCTTTCACTTCCTGCCTCCCCCTCCGCCAATAATTTGATTTTACGCACGGAGTGTCGAGGGGCGCTGCTTGAAGTAACACGTGACAAGCACCTACAGATTCGGCCTTCGAACTGCGTCAACCATGGCGGAAACGAATTTGAATCAAGTTAGGAGCGAAGCGAAGATGGAAACAAATTGAAAGGGTGGCCTCTTCTGCATAGTTGAAAAACATTGTGCTCAGGCAATAAGCTTTACCCAAAGTCGGACCAAGATTCAATATGTATGCCTCTATTCTTGTGTTCCATCTTCCAACCCCCCGCCTTGATTGCCCCCTCTTTTCAGAACAGGACTTGGGCTCAAGCCAAACACCCCCGCCTTCAATAGGGTCAGCCGGGGGAGGAAGAAGATTCTGAAGGGAACCTCATTAGTACGGTAATGACGCGCAGTGGTCCAGTAAATAGAAGACTTCCTAGGGACCCACCCCCTAATTGATTGCTGCCGGTTCGGACGCGGCGGTGAAAGCTACCCCCTTCGGCCTGACGAAGCCAATTCCTGGACACTCACAGCCTGCCGGGTTAGAGGGGAAGGGGGTAGGCTAATGAAAAGTCCGGTGACCGGACGCCGCTAGGGCCGAAACCGAGACCCTTCTTCCTTTATTCTGTGAGGGTCTCGTTAGGGGGCTCCTCTCTTTCGGCCCCCTCCTGGCTCGGTGCCCAGTGGCGCATCTGCTCAGATTGGAGTAACCATCGTCCCCGAATTCCCGTCCACGCGCACGAAGCTACACAACTTTATAGCTCTCGTTGTGAGGGTGCGCCGGGTGGAGGCCACGAAAAAGTTAGCCCATCTGGTTGACGGCAATGGCGGGTCTAATTGGTGCAAAAACGGCAGGATATCTCGTAGGGACGCGACGGTGAATTGTTTCGCCTACGACATTTTGAGACAGGAAATAAAATTTAGTCTGGATTAGGATGACTAGTAAGCCTTCACACTACTGGAGCCCCAAAGGCTACAAATACCTTTCGACGCGAATTCCTAGCGAACCAAAAGTTAATTGCCGGTTTATCGAAACCCCCCTGCATCGGCTGTCGAAACCGGCAATTTTCCAATTTTCCCACCTTGCCACCGATTTCACGGGCTCTTGCTCCAACGCCTTAGGGCCCCCCGACACCTCTCCGGGGGCCCTCTATAATTAGGGTGTGTGCCCAAGAGAGCGAAAATGGAGCCGGAGCTCGCGGCCGAGTGCTTGCTATGAGGTTGTGATTTGAGAGCGCAAAAAATTGGAAGGAGTTTCAGAAACCATGTACTAGTTCCCAGAAAAAGATGGATTAGAATTGAGCAAGAACTGGAAATTGGTTTTTGTGATTTCCCATTCATCTAGCGTGATCTCAAGCTCAAACCGAATTTTATAAAAATTATTACATCAATTTCAGATCGCATCGAAAATAATATGGGTAGTATTTGCAACCTAGTTCCTTCCATCCCCTAGTTCTTTCACTGACCCCCCCTCACTTATTCATCACGTCTCGCTAATTTTTGAGGAGGGATGCTCCGGGTGGAATGATAGAAAGGATGGGCATTAGGTAATGGGTATCATACATCCCACATTTTTCCAGTGATCCATCCCATAGCTATCCGTCCCTCAGATCAATGGGAATTGCTGAGTAGCAGAAAAATGCGTTGAAAAAGGAAGGGCTTTGAATGGGAGGCGACCAGCCGGAGGGGTTTGAGTATCGCCATCCGTAAACAGGACTCGTACGAATTCTAGTCGGAACCGAGAAAGGGGCAACAAAAATTTTTGTAATCGCAAAGATTTTGTTTTGGATGAAAAGGGGGGGAGAGAAGGTCCATTCGGGGAAGGGCCTGATACAAACACGGAAATAATTCGACGCTGCATTTTGGTCAAAGCGCCAAAACATCTCATCAACGTAGCGCATTCGTAATTTGATGGCAGTCGTCGGACAAATAGGAACCCAGAAATCATAAAACCCGGGAAAGAGCTGTAGAAAAGTTCCCTTCATTGCTTATTTTTTTGGAAAATAGAATCAAAAATAAGTAGCAAGTTCTACGTTGCGAATAGGATTTTTGAATTTGTGAGCCAAAAGTTCGGAATTTTCTTGCAAAAACCACAAGACCCGTGAAATGGATCCGAAAGCCGGAACGGATCCGGAAATAGTTAGCGCTTCAACTACAACCGGAACCGCTAGGCAAATAAACTTTGGAGACAGAGGGTTCAGGGAAAATGAAATCGAGCAAATTTATGCGAATTTGCAAACAGAAACCAATTTTACGCTAATTGGCCCGCACCTTCCAGGTCCCTTCAATAAATACCCCGGAACTAAACCAAAGATCACCCCAAAAACTCACTCCTGAGTGCAGCTTTGTGAATTGAACGCGTCAACCGGATCACCATACGGATAAGCATGTAGATAGGCAACCAGATGCAGCAATATCAACACGCCGAATACCGAAAATCGGCCCACCACCGCGGACCGTCTCGACATCTGAAGGCCCTGAGGGCATGAAGGTGCTGGCTGGTTAGGGGATGGGGGAGGGGGAAAGGGTCCTGGAGTAGGAGGACGAGGTCTCTAGCCCCACCCCTCCCCCTCCCTCACACACAAACATACACACATACGCACAACCAAAGCATTCCAACCCCTTTTGGCTATTGCCCTCACTCTACTCCACACCTTAAGCACCCGAGGCTTTGAAAGGCTTGAAAGGAAACTACACTTCAAGATTGAAACCTGAGACGAGAAGCACCAATCGTTACGTGTAAGATAACAAAGTAAAACAAGGTAAAATTAAGGGACAATGGGCATCAAAAAAAACTGTTTAGGCGTGCCCAATGTCATACTGATGATCAAGGTCCAAAGAAGCTAATAGATTCCCCTAAAGCTCTCCGCAAACTGAAGTCGGGATTTTTGATTCTGCATAAAGGCAGTAGGCAAAAATTTAGCATGGTAAATCTAGAATAGAGACATTTTTAAAACCCAGAAAACTTACTTGTCAGTCGTGAAAAGTATGCAATGCCTAAATTCAAATTGCCGCATTTAATACAATAAGTATATTGGTCATTTGAATTTAGAAAATCAATCATATTTATGAATTACGTACGAAATACAAAGTCCGCCTCCCTATGCAGACACTATGAACTTATGGAAATTCGGCCCTCCGAACTTAAGCGAAAATGTATAATCAGAATTGAAGCATTAAAAAACTATGCATCTGACTGAGTCATTCGAATAGCAATTTTTTGGGATTACGTATAAAACTCGCTACAAAAACTACCAATTCGTGCAAAAACTTAGGCCGGCCCTGGAAGCCTCGTGGTCCATTCCGTTGCCCAATGTGAAGCGCGGCCATGGTGGCAAAATTGAATTGTCGGCCGTGTACCTGCTGGACTGGCATCCTCAATATGCCCGAAGACGAGCCCATGCTAGCTTCAAACAACTTATTCGTTCTAGCAACATTCCTGGGATTAAACGGGAGACGGGCCGCAGTATGAGGAATATGAAGTGTAGCCCTCCCTTATAAGACACGTTTAACGTTTAAGTGAGCATCTGTATCGCATGAGGTTGGCTTCACCTGAAACGGAATTTCGTCAGAATTCACAGGGGCATTATGACACTGACAAGGAGACGTTTTTAAGTATCGTCCGGACTTGGGGATTGGACCAAGCCTACCTTGTGCAGAATTTTGCGCTGATTCCGATTATCGTTGTCGTTTTTGTGGAATATCCATTTCTTGCAATTAAGGAACGATTTAAACAAAAAAGCGACCAAAATAGCTACTTCCGTTCGACATAAAAGGCTTCGAAATAGGTTTTATAGAAAAGCCAATAGTGTATCTTGTTGAGGACAAAATTCCCTATAAAATACACAATTATAATCACCCTGAAAAATAGAATTTTCGTTTGCATACTGTTCAAGGGACCCAAAGAGTTAGCCTTTATGAAAACCTTTTCATCGGGAAGTTATTAAGGTCCTGTATATGATAAACGACCACTTACTGAAATGTAACAGCGGTGTCAGGCTAGCTTGCGAAAAATTGCAATCTTCAGCGTAGATGCACTCGAAAAGACATCAGCCCTCATCGTACTCGTGAGATAAATGTTTGATAATCCCATTGGGCAGGCTATAGCTATAGCTGTCGGAAGCGGTCCGTAGCCTGCGCCGCCGCTGTGCCTAAAATGGGGATTTTAAAATTTCTTGTTTAAAAACGACAAATTAACCATCACCACATAACGTTTCATCCAACTATTTATAAAAATCCGTCTGTGTGTGTCTGTTCCACTTCCGTCCAAGTTTTCCAACAATCCGTGCTTGGGAAGAAAATTTAAAGTATGCTAGATCGGTCAGTGGATACATGGTGGCCTCGATCAGCTATTAGGTTTTTATGGGGTACAGTCACTACCCCGAAAAGTCACTACCCGGAAAAGTCACTACCCCGAAAAGTCATTACCCCGAAAAGTCACTACCCCGAAAAGTCACTACCCCGAAATAATTTGCATGATTTTCATAGGAAAACCGCATGAAAACTGGATTTTTCCGGGAAAAACAATGCTATCATTTTCCGGGGTAAACGATTTCGGGGTAGTGACTTTTCGGGTAGTGACTTTTCGGGGTAATGACTTTCGGGGTAGTGACTTTCGGGGAGTGACTTTCGGGTAGTGACTTTTCGGGGTAGTGACTTTTCGGGGTAGTGACTTTCGGGGTAGTGACTTTTCGGGGTAGTGACTTTCGGGGTAGTGACTTTCGGGGTAGTGACCGGACGCCGGTTTTTATGGTGGCATTAGCAATGAATCAAAATTTTAGTAAAATCTCGATCACTTCTTTGTTGAGAAGGGTTAACATGTACCGGCAATGTTGGTAGCTCATACGTACGTGTATAAACGGAAATAAGGGCGCTTTCAAGATTTTTATGATTGAAATTCGGCAAGAACGTAATATGCAGTAATCGATATCAGCTAGCCCATATCAGGGCGCCGTTTTTCCACAATTTGTTATTATTTCGCGCAGGCGAGAATTACGTGGATACAGAAATAGCCTGAAGGGACGTTTGTCACAAATACGCGTTCTCATTAGTAAGCTGAAACGCTGATAAGGGCTTTTTGGCATACAACGTCTGCAAAATCTGGCAACTTCCAGGCATCGCGAAAGCACAAATCCATATGTGACGATTCGGCTACGGCACGATCAATAAAAACAATCTCACCGCAAAAGACAAAATTCCGTATTTCCTCTCACGCATGGCTGTTAATTTCTGTGTTAACAGAGAGCGGGATTTTTATAAGGCTGTATATTAGAGGAAGTACGGCTTATACACGTGCACGATTTTTTTGAAAACGAGCGGGTGATGTTTGAACCTTACCGAATAGCCACGTAGCATATTTTTTACTTTTGAGCACCCGTTTTCTTCAGCAAGCTTGCCGAACGGCGTGACGTGTGTCTGGGTCGAGAGCGGCCGATGTTGCATACTTCCCCGGAACGCCGTCGACCGCTTCAATCAAGCAGGCTTCATTGCACAGAGCTAGCTGAGGGTGGAGGTCGAAAGGTAGCGTTCTTATTTTTTGCAGATGGCCGAGAAGTTTCGTTCTCTTAACTGCAAGCTTTCGTTGGCAATCTCTGAGAAAAGCTAGCTACCATATTCCCTGCAACCTGTAAAGCCACCGGCTTCGGATTTTTTTCAAACAACCCTATTGGAGCATTTTTAGACCGGAAACAGAGCCAAAGATTAAAACAGAGATGGTTTATATGTTTTCGATCATCAGAGGTATCAGAATTCAAGGTCAAAGCTGATCTATTTTGACTTGTTCAATCGGGTTTTGACCACTTTATGTCTTTCATAGCTGCTTAATATCAAAACCAGTCATAAACATCACTAATATGCAAAGTTATAAATATTTCATAGCTTCAAAACTGGGTTTGTATATAGTTTACCGGGAGCTTATATACAGTGCTCCACATAATCATAGGTCCACCCCCCAAAATTGGGAAATTAAAATTTTTAGGTACTTTTATAAAAAGTACCAAAAACCAAGAACCAATTCCCTTCTATTCAATGACCAAGTACAAAGTAGCATTACAAAATGCGGTCAATTTCTTATACCGGAACACCCGCAAAATAATCAGCTAAGCTTATTGAAACGCCTCCGAAGGTCCTACCATGGCTGGCGTACGCCGGGTTAATGCATTTCACAGCACCCAGACTTTGTCCGATTCTCATAAACTTGGGGATCCAAATTTCAAGGGTTTCAGGATACAGACATGACCGCAATTAGAAGCTCTTTCAGCTACGGTAGTCAAATCTCGTCTCTACGCCGCTTTTCGCTTTTTTCGAATTAAAAAGACTAAAATCCTTTGTTAAAATCCGATTTTTCAAAAATCGTCCCAGAGCTTGGCAACCAAGTTTTTTCGTTTCAATGAGTAGCTGAGGGTCTGATTAAGCAAAAGATCTTCGATTAAGCACTCTGGACCCAGGCGTTTTTTCGTAAAGCTGGGTGGACCTAAGAATATGTGGAGTCGCCAAATTGGTTTTTTCATGTTTTTCTGGCTAATTATTTTATCTAACCATTTATCGGCCATGGCTCTTGTGGTATATTTTTTGCAATACCTTTTACCCTACGTTGATATTGTTGCCTTTTTATAAAAGTACCTAAAAATTTTAATTTCCCAATTTTGGGGGGTGGACCTATGATTATGTGGAGCACTGTATGAAGGAAATACGGCTTTCTGCCGTCGAAGCTTGGCTCTGTGAGCGTTTGCATCGATAGAAACGGTTCCGACCTTAAATATCGTTTTTCGGTATAAGTTAACTTTCTCTCCTAGTCCAAAAGCTTCAAACGTTCAAAACATCCCATCTCCTGTGTTTTCCATACCCTAAGAGGACTTCTTGACTTCTTTTTAGGGAGCAAGTTTTACCCATCCGTTCACTTCCTAATTCCTCTTTCCAGCCGGTGTGCGGAACACATTTTTGTGGGGATGCTCCTTGTCGGTGCGGCCCCAAGGGGGCAGCAAAGAATATAATTATTTTTCAAGGGAGAGCGGGGGAGGGCGCGGAAGAAGGCTGTGGCCGTCTCTAGTCCATCGTCGTCTTCATCCAGCCGCCTCTAACGGCTTTGAAGGACATTTTAACGCAATTGGGCCTCTTGCAAAAGAAGGCTTCTTTACTCATTGCTTCGCTTCCGGGGGGCCAATGGGTTGTGTAGCTCATTCTTGTCTTTGCTAGACGACCACTCTAACCACACGGTTCAAGGGCGGGTGATCGAATTTTTCCGTCGTCATGACAAATCGGAAGGGGAGGAGGCTGTTGGTTCATTTTTAAGACTGTGAACCGATTAGCGAGTTCTTTTTTCATTTCCGGGGTGACACCGGCGTATAATTGCATTCGGTCATAGAACCAAGTCAGATATCAACAGGTACGAAACCCTCCACGCGACAGGGCCCTTTTCTCAATACATCGAATTCTATAATAACGAATTGTAAGTACCGAATACCGGAAC